GGATCTCTGTGAGTTCGAGGCCAGCCTGGGAAAGGTGCAAAGCTACACAGAGAAACCCTGTCTTGAAAAACAAAAACAAACAAACAAACAAAAAGAATCCTCTTTCCTCTTTTTGCCAATTTAGAACATGCTCTCAAGTACACACAATACTGAAAAAGGTTTTGTCAAGTCTTAGTCCAAGAGAATTCTGCTGACATCCATGGCAGCCTGGCTTGAGGGAGAGAGCTTGACATCTTAGTTACTAGTAAAGAAACTTTATGCCTTATCAAAATGACACTAAGGTATCTGCAGTTAAACTTGAAAACTAGTTTCTCACTTCTCTGCATGTATCCTTTTACTCTCCTAATCAATGTGACTTTGGAATGTGGCCATAACACAATGGAAAGTTCAGCCGAGTCAAGCTCTGTCAGGATAGAAAAGCCATGTGCTACCCCATGGAACCTTCCTATTACTTCTGCTGAGCTCTTGTCTCTTAGCATGGTCTTGCTTGAACTCTCTTCAGGGGAAAGAAAGTCTAGGGCTGTGTCTGCCCTCGATTTCAAGACCTAGAGAATAAAGGGGCGAGGTGCCATGGAGAATTTGGTGTTCAAACCATATCATTACAAGTCTAGTGCTAAAGCTTAGACATGTTCTGTCCTTGAGAGATTCACATGCTGAACATTTGTCCCCAGCGTGGCCATATCCAGAGGTAAGGTACCTTTAAAGGGTGAAGCCTAGTGCAATGTGACTTGGCCACTGAGGCACCACCCTGGGAAGGAATTAATTTAGTCCTATGGAGTTGGATTAGTTCTAAGAAAATGAGAGCCCAAAACCTGTGAGCCTTTTTTCTGCACACATTCAAGCTACTATGATGCCATGCACAATGAGGTCCTCACCAGCGTCAATCAGATTGTGGTGCCATGGCCCCTACAACCTTCAGAACTATAAGCTAATCAATATCCTTATGTAGCACCCACTCTCATGGATTTTGTTGCAGAACACAAAACAAAACCACATCATTTAGTCAATTTACCTAGACTTATGATTGCCTCCAGTCCATTTTCTACTCTGAAAACAAAGCAGAGACATCTAAACTACAAACCTGCTCAGGCCAATTTTTGTTCAAAGTGCTGTTTCTGCTCTTTTTGGGAAGAATCTCATGTAGCCCAGGCTAACAAGGCTTGCCTCAAACTGTTGACCCTTCTGCTTCTACTTCCTAAATGCTCAGCCTATGGTTTAAAATTCTTTAATGGCTTTCCACTGACGCCAGGAAAGTGCAAATACCCAAAAAAGGCTTCTAAGGCCAAAATTACAACAGTGTGCTTTTTATCTTCTACTTTCTCTTGTCTAGGGCTTTTACATAAGAATTTTCCTCGACCCACAACAACTAATCCATGCTCATCCTTTGCCTGCCTTCTCATCTTCCAGATCTCTGTCCATATATACCCTTTTCTATTAGGACTCCCATTCATTCGATTTATTCATTCACATTCATTCACTCTCTCTTCTTTCCTTCTTTCGCCTCCTTCCTTATTTTTCTGGTTTAATCCTTTCCTCAAGCAGCTTGGACTTCCCTTACCACAGCATTTCTTCCATACTGCTGCTTTACAAGCTCACCTCTTCTATCTAGACTCTAAATGCACCAAAGTAGTTACCATGTCTGCCTTAGTCACCATTATGGGTATAACAGTGTGGAGCACAGTACCTGTGCTACAGCAGGATCATAAACAAACATTTTTAATGTTTACTTCCTTATTTTTATATTTAAGTGATTGCATGAATTTATGTGTATCCCATGTGAACAGGAACCCACAAAGGCTAGAAGAAGGCATCAGATCTCCTGGAATTAGAGTTACAGATGGTTGTGAGGTGCCATGTGGGAGCCATTATTTCTCCTAACTGCTGAGCCATTTCTTCAGCTCCCACAAACACATTTTAAAGGAATAAGAAAATGGGAAGGAGCTAGTGAGGGAAGGAACCATAATATAGAGCAAGCTTGTTCCTGAAAATGTTTTAAGGTAGAATCTAAAGGGATTCTCTGAGGCTCTGCAGGTTTAATGCATGATGCTTCTGGCTTGAACAACAGCAAACCAGAGGTAGTTATTTTCCTGTAGTTCTAAAGTGGAAGCCGAGAACTACAGTTTTAAAGAGTAGGAAGTACCAAAAGATGCAAATCCAGGACATGATTTGGAACATCTTAAGAAAGGGGTTCAATAGTGCCAAGTATGGGTTACTTCCTATTGATCAGTGGAGTCCCATAGACTCTCCCAAAACATTACAGGCTATTGGCATTGTTCTTGGTTACTCTCCAGAATTTGATGGAAAGACCTATTGTTGAAGATACCACATATTTGAGTCAGTAGACATAGAGAAATTGAGCTGGCACTGACCTAGAAGCTTCATCTCTAGTGGCTAGCTTCCACAGTAGTGAAGATACCATACAGGCTACTGGGGAATGATGTACTCAATAATCTAACTCGCTGTAAATCTTACAAGACATGCCCATGGGGAATAGTGGGACCAATAATCCAGGAGTAACTGAGCACTTTTCTGGTTGGATTTAAGGCCCAATCCACAAAATGGAATGCATGCCTTCTACTGTTAACTGGACCAAGAATCCACAGCTGGGTAGGCTGCTTAACAGACATTATTTTAAACTGCTCCCTAAATATTTATCTTTATAGCCATAAATTAGTATATTTTCAACCTTTATCAGGGAAGCTTCTTTTTGCAGTAAATAGTGATTAACATAAAGACTTACAATTGATCAATATACAGAGACTAAGAAGATACCACAGACTGCTCAGCCCTAAATGGGACATTTGTATCATATGCCCTTCTCTGCAAAAGCCTCAGGGGATCACTAGAGAATAGGGTGGAAAGATTTTAAGAGCCAGAGTTAGCGGAGGGTTACTGCAAAACAGTGTTTCAGGACATGACAGCCCACTACACACATGAACTCACAGTGCCTATGACTGCATGCACAAGGCCTGCACGAAATCAAGCCAGCCAAAAATCCCAGAATGGAAGAGGGAGAGGCTCACAAAGCCCCACCCCTAGGTGAGGACCTATTGGCAACTGATGGCAACAATGGGGGAAGAAAGCCATCAATTTTCTTCTGGGCGGTGACTTTTGATAGGTTGCCCATGTTCCACAGGACGGTCTTACACCCATGCACACACTGGCAGCACTAAATGGACTCTGGGTTTAAAAGGAACACAAGAAGTTGGAAGGTAAAAGTGGCTGTGGGAATATGGAAAAAGTTGGAGAGGAGGAAGTAGGGAGTAGATCTGTCAAAACACATTATATTCCTGTATAAAATTCTCAAACAATACATTTAAAGTGGGGGAGAAGTTCAAAATGTGGTAATCAGCTTTAACTGTCAAGCTGACAGGATCTAAAATTACTTATTAGACAAACCTCTATGTAAACTTGGGAGGGATCATTTGGGTTAGATTGGCTTCTGAGCATGACTGTAAGGCACTATCTTGGTCAGGTAAGTGCAATGGGAAGGCCTTCCCACTATGAGTGGCACCATTCCCTAGTTGGGATCTCAGACAATATAAAAATGAAAAGGTGGGGTGAGCACAAGCATTCACTGCTCTTTTCTTCTGCTGCAGATGCAATGTGACCAGCTGTTTCGAGTTCCTATTGCCTTGACTTCCCTACCATAATGGATTGTACCTTGAACCCTTTCTCTCGTAAACTGCTTTGGTCAGGACATATTTCATCACAGTGACAGGAAAAACAACAAATAGCACCTGAGACAGGAGCAGAGAGGAACTATATTCGTTGGTTAGAAATAAAGCCAGAGTGAAAAACTGGCTCCATGGGCAATCCTGGACAGCTCGTTTAGGTTTAAGAAGGACTGGAGCTCCATTAGTGAACCCGGCACTGGTTCTGAGGAGCTCTGGTCTCTTTAGAAGCCGCTCAGACTCTACTAGGATGAAGTCAGTGGTCCACCAAGGGTTACAGTCTTAACTCCACATGAAGACAAATGTTTATACTCATTGGGGTTCAACTTCATTAGAAAGGCAATGCTGTGGTTAAAATAAAAGTTCAAACAGCAGAGACCCAGACACCCTACTTTTCAAACAGCAGAGACCCAGACACCCTTTGTGATAACTCCCTGTCTTAAGTCCATTAGTCTCCATGACAGATGCGGCCTGCCTGGACAGTATAGTCTGCTTGATGGCACAGCTGCAGCATTTCCTAGTCTTCTCACTGCTCAAGCAGATGGAAAGAGAAGAAATGAAAGTCAAGTCCAAGTTTACTAAAGGCTGAGGCAATAATAAATGCTCTGTTAAATTTCTTCAATTGTTGACATAGAAAAATACAAAGGCCTCCTCCCTGCTCCTTAAATATTTTTTTTTCTTTCTTTCTCCCCCGCCCCCCCCCCCACCAGGACAGAGTTACTCTGTGTAGCTTTGGAGCCTGTCCTGGAACTTGCTGGATAGTCTGTAGACCAGGCTGGCCTCAAACTCACAGAGATCCACCTGCCTCTGCCTCCTGAGTGCTGGGATTGAAGGTGTGTGCCTGCACCTGCACCACCACCATCGCCACCACCCGGCCAAATAAAGTTTTTTTTTAACCTATGACCTAGAACTTATTTTGACATTCATTGTGACAGAAATAATGTACAGTCTAGAGCACACTGACAAAATCTAATTTCTATCAAAAAAGAACACTGTAAGTTTAGTAGGTCCACCTGATAGTCTAATATCATTCAAATACAGAGCCTGCTCTTCTTAACAAGGAACTCTGAATGTGCTAAAGAACAAAGCAAAGTCTCTGTCACCATATACTTTCAAGTCTACCTTTAATGAAGTTTACAGGCAGAAAATGACACAGACAGGGAAGGAGATGGGAGTCCTATAGAATAAAGGCCTCACAGCCCTGGATTAAGACAGAAATTCCTTTTCTCTGCTGTCCTTTACTTATCTATATTTCAGGAGGCATTAGAAGGTCACAAATGTCATTCCACTTCTGAAAATAGACAAGCAGCAAAAATGTAATCTTACCTGGGTCCTTCTTCTTCACCCTGAAATAAAAAGAAAAAACAGTGTTAGAAATCATTGTTGGTTAAAAACTGGTTGAGATTTCTTTAATTTTCCTCTTCATGCCCAAACCAAAAGCAAGGTTGTGTATTTATCTTAACAAAGACAAGCCAAAAGATGTCTAAGAGCTAAGACAAGGACTAATATATCCATTTCTATGTTGGAACTGCCTAGCAGAGATGGGCTAATAATTTGCCATTGCAAGCATGGAATGTGAACGCACAGACCTAGGTGGTCTAAAGAATAGCCTTGCTTTTTTATTTCTATGTCTGGCAGTATTTAGTTCTGAGCAAACCAAGAACCCCAAAATAGCAGCAGGTCTTGGGCAAAGCTGACCAGCTCCAAAAGCATCAAGCTGTTTTCTTCAAAAACTTAATTTCTGTCTTGGTCTGGCATTTTTTCTTGAAATATGAACACAGTGGTTCTAATACTCAGCATATTGAGGTAGGAAGAGTTCTAAATTAGGACTCAGGAAATAGAGATTCTATTTGAAGTCTGAGACTTATGAGAATGTGCTACTGGGACACACTAAATGGTTAAAATGACCCTTGGTTTCCTCCTCTGTAAATGGGTAGTCTGAGCATCGGTAATCTACCTCATTCATTACCCAAACAATACTTTTCCTCTTTTTTTTTATTCATTCTGCAAAAATGTGTATTCTTTTTCTAGTTGTTTCATTTTCTTGACCTAACTTTATCAGTAACCCTCGCAGCAGATTATTTGGCATCTCCCTCTGTAACAAAATGAGAGCTTTCAAATGACTTTGAAGCCTTTCCCATGGCAGTTCATTCATCCTTCTAGTGACAAAGTACCTTTCACACTCCCTTCTTCAGTAATTTAGGGTTGATTTCAGTAGAGAACATACCTTCTGGTTGTACTCCCCATAGAATCAATTAATCAATGATTCCAACTTGTATAAGCTGGAACCAGACACTGTGGGTTCAAATCTTGGCTCCATCACTTACTTGCTGTGTTACTCTAGCCATGTTATTCTGCCTCTTTCAAATTCAACCTCCTGGTTTATAAAGTGAGGTAATAACTGTCTCTGAATCAATAGGATCAATATGAGGATTAAATAATGCTCAAATTGCTAAGCATACATAGTGCTTGAGAGGACACTGTTAATAAAGGATACTGATTAATATCAGTAGTAATTTAGTACGGATCATTAAAAACAGTGTGTGTAAGTGCTAGGGACAATGATCTAACCTTCTATGAGCTCTCAACAAGGGGCTCATGTACACAGAAAATAAACTAAGTATGTTATGGGCGCTACTGAAGGCATAAACAGAATGACCTCAGGGACAAAAGGGAAGAGAAGGTGACATATACATTGATACTTGAGATAAGCAGGATTCTCCCAGGCTGACAATACTAAAAAGTGGGAAGAAGACTGGACTAACAAGAGAAATGCCTAACAGTTTAATTAATATAGCCGATAGATAGATAGATAGATAGATAGATAGATAGATAGATAGATAGATAGATAGATAGATAGGTAGGTAGGTAGGTAGGTAGGTAGGTAGGTAGGTAGGTAGGTAGGTAGGTAGATAGACAGATAGATAGATAGATAGATAGATAGATAGATAGATAGATAGATAGATGATTGATAGGACAGTAAGAACAACACTGGAATAACAAGAGCAAAGACATAATAGTTTAATAGATAGATGATAAGACAGATGAAATGAAGGGAGGGAGAGAGGGACAAAATTTGGGTTCTGTGGAATAAGAAAATGAGGATGTGCCTATGTATTCTGGGCAGTGTAGGAGTGGGGCTAAGGGCAGTGTGGGGTTAAGAGTGCAAGTGGGATAAAGACAGATTACCAGACATTAGGCCTGTAAAGGAAGCTCCAGCCAGGAAAGTGATTTAATCATTCTATGTACTGGCGATTGAAAAGAAGGGCATTTCTTTTCAGAGAGTTTCAATATTGTAAGGGCACTAATCATTTGTACCTCAATGAGAGCAGGGGGCAAAGTAGTAGAAAGTAGAAAGGCTGATACAGGGGTGATATAAGTTGCATTTTGATCAACTTATACATCTCAAGAGTACTATAATACAGCAAAGAGAGTCATATAATTTAAATTTCATGAGTTATATAACTACCAATGACACAATTAAACCTCAACAAAATTTTCCAATTATCTTTGGCTATTTAAACATAACTACCTGAGAGAACCTTGTAGGAAAATACATCTAAATGTTCTCCCATGATTTAAAGCAAGTTCTCTTCACAGTCACACATCTTGGTACAATGGTTATGAAATGGGATTTGTGTATTTTCATGGTACACATACCCTCAGTTCTAGCACTTAAGGCTGAGGAAGAAGGGTGGTGAATTAGAATCTTACCTACATAGGAAGGCTTGTATGAGATTGAGTAGGATTTCTGAGTTATAAAAACAATCTCACATTAATCCCAGGATTAAAGTTTGGTAATTAACATTTCCAGATTCAGTTTTCTAAACAAGTATGTGATATAGTGTCCAATAATGGGGACCATTACTGAGCTTCTTCTGAATTACTAATCAATACTGTTTATCTGGGAACAGGGGAGGTAAGAAAAGGCAGTTTTGTTGTATTTCCATCTTTCTGAGAAACAACAGTCACTACTACAAAGCATGCAGAATGCCAGAACAAAGGTTTCACTACTGAAAGAATGAACAAGTGGATGAAACAACAAGCACATTTACAAAGTGTAAGTCTATTTAGATGGCTTCACCAGACATCCAGATAGCTATAATTTGCTGGTAAAAGATGTGCACATGCTGGCCCTGCTACCCCAAATGTTCACTGTGATGATATATTGTGTACCCTAATAAAGCTTGCCTGGGGATCAAAGGACAGAGCCAGCCACTAGATTAGACACAGAGGTCAGGCAGTGGTGGCACACACCTTTAATCCCAGCATTTGCTTGGGAAGCACACAAACCTTTAATCCTAGGAAGGAATATGGCAGAGCAGAGAAAGGTATATAAGGCATGAGGAAACAGGAACTCATTCTCTTTAGGCTGATGATTTCATAGAGGTAAGAACTAGTAGCTGGCTGCTCGGCTTCTCTGATCTTTCAGCTTTCACCCTGATATCTAGCTCTGGGTTTTTTATTAAAAGACCATCTAAGATTCACCTCTATCCTGAAAACCTTGCTAATTCTAGGCACTCCTTTAAGATCAGGCCTGACTCAGTAACTTCCTCACTGAGAGCTTGGGAAGATAATGCTCTTTTCTACTCTGTGTCTGTGGAGTTCATTCTTTTCACTTAGCAGCTTAAGAAAACTGATGGTCACAGCACCACATGGTGTCTCCCTCAATGGATTTCAACCATTTGAAAAAGTTTTGTTCATATCTAGGGTGCACAAGTATATAGTAAATAATTACTTAGGAGTTCAGGCAAAGATATAGCAGGATTTAAGATTAATTTCTATTGCCATTATAAGTTAATTCTGGTTACAAATATCAGAAGTGACTTGATAGATTAAGCAATATTCCCAAATCCCTCCTTCTAACATCATGAATGCTCTTGGATGGCACACTGCACTCTAATGTGACCTTTTCTTTCTACTTCCACCAGTGGAAATAAGGTTCACTAAGTTCAAGTTGAATCCCAAATCTGCTTATTCAGGTAAACCTGCAATCATCATGACAAGTGAAATAACAAAAATGAATGTAAGAGAGACAACCATTGTCCCCAAGAGTTGTTGTTTTTTGAGAATTTAAATGCTTCACAGCATTCATTAAAAATGGTAAAAATTAGTAACAATTTTGAGTATAGGTGGAACATGCAAAATACTACAAAACTTAAATTACAATGTCTAAGATTCTACATTTAACTTGCTTTGAATTGTATCTCCTTCACTATGGAGTAACACTAGATATTTTAGGCAATAGTTTATCGTTGATTTCTCAGGGTGCCGGGAAGCAAACCCAGAGTCTTAACATGCTATGTAAACACTCTACTGAGCTATGCCCTCGTCCTAACTGGGCTTTTAAAATGGTAGTAGATGTAGTTCATACTTAGAATCTGACATTCAACCTCAATTGGCAAACTCACATTTTTCTAAAAACACCTGGACTCCAAGGCAAAACTAGTAAATTTTAAAATTCAAAGTAAATGCTTAAGATATATACATTTTATTTTTACTAATTTCTCCACAGAAACCACCTTTTCTAGGATTATCTATTTCATTGCAAGTCAGAACTCTCCTTTCAAAAACTGGAAGGGGGCCGGGCGGTGGTGGCGCACGCCTTTAATCCCAGCACTCGGGAGGCAGAGCCAGGCGGATCTCTGTGAGTTCGAGGCCAGCCTGGACTACCAAGTGAGTTCCAGGAGAGGCGCAAAGCTACACAGAGAAACCCTGTCTCGAAAAACCAAAAAAAAAAAAAAAAAAAAAAAAAAAACTGGAAGGGTTTGGGGCATATACTCGTTGACAGTGTGTCCAACACGCTCTGGATTCCATCCTCTGGACGACACAAATGGAGGAAGGTGGCACATGTCTCAAATCTCAGCACTTGGGAAACAGAGGCAGGAGATAACCCAGAGGTTATCCTCAGCCACATGGCAAGTTTGAAGCCAGCCAGGGTTACATAAGACCCCATCTCAAACAAAAACAAGCAAATAAAACAACACAAACAAAAACATATCCACTATGCAGAATATGGAAATGTTCATGAATTACAGATAAAAAAAGCATATCATTCAATTTTTAAATTAGGATCACTTTTCATACACATACCCAAGGGGGGGGGGGCTAAGGTCTATGGGTAATACTGTAAAAATACAGTAAAAACTAGCAGGGGTGTTAGCTAGATACTTCACTGGCAAACTGGGTCCTTGAAGGAACACAGGCTCTCTAGAAGTTCCCCCATAATCTATACTGTGTCCTCTGTCAGACTGCCAACTACAAGGAGACACAGGAAGTACCCAGACATCCATTACTTAAGCATATTATTCTGAATAATAAAAATTTAAATATCATATTTTCAATA